CTCGACTGTTCAGTGTGATCAGGTGATCATCTTTTGGAAAAGTCATGGTTTTGCCAAAGAATGTGTGTATGTGGAGGCCACTGTGCACTTGGGACATTTCAGTCTAACAGAACTGTTTTTTTAAGTCTTCCCGAGATCTGTACCTTTTACCAATCTTGTTTTTGAGCTCTGCAGGAGGTTTCTTTAACTTCAAGGATTGGTTTTTGATCAGATTGTGACAAAGGAGGCTTAGAGGTGTCTGCCTTTCCAAATCATGTCCGATCAAATTAATTTACAGCAGAATGACTCTAATCAAACAAATAAGAAAAGTGGGTGAAAAATATCCCAATATTTAAATGCCATATTTATACTTTTTCACCATTTTTAATAAATTTAACCAGTTGTAGGAAATTCTGTTTTCATGATGTCATGGGAACTGAGGGAAGATTATTGAGGAAAACCAAATCCAACAATTACAGCATCAGGCTGCTTGCAAAAAAAAAAAAAAAAAAAAAAAAAGAAAAATTGCAGAAGGTGAAGGGAGTTCCAAGACCTTCTAATACCACTGAAAAAGAATGATTAACATGAACCAGTTTAAAATTATCTCCTGCATGCACCGCACAAATCAAAAGCTAGTTTAATACTCGTTTAGCYCTTTTTGTATGGTTTTGGTCATTGAAACGTCACATTCCATGTCTTCATTGCTACGGCTGAGCACCGCTAACAATYACTGAGCTCTCCCTGGTATTTCCTGCATAGAAACAGTGTTTTAACACATCCTGATATAAACACTGAAAAGTACTACGTGTACGACTGACTAAATGTTAAATAAATAATTCAGAAATACTATTAAAAGTAAAAGTCAGAGAGTTTCAGTCTCTGTTGTTGTGAGTGGCTGATGTCTTGAATTCTGAACTTTCTCACTTTCCAATAAGGAATTCCAACTGGAGCGGCGTTCCAGTTGATATTTAAAGGGATTCTCAATTAGTTGTAACATTAGATTTTATTTGATAAACATTTATTTTAACTGTAAAATAAAGACTGTAAAAATACTGAAGGCTGTTTAGTTTTGTAAAATTTTTTTTAAATATGTTGGACAGAGCCATATTATTTACACGCAAAGCATTCTGGGAAAATGATGTGGATAGGTCCTCAGTGTGAGCGAGCTATTTCCACCCTGAAGGTTAATCTTGGACAATTTCTGATGATTGACTCTTTTAAATGAAACCAGAGAGCGTTGACAAGAGGAGAAGGTAGAAATGACTCAGCCTGTAACTGAAAATATGGATGGAGGACAACAGAGCTGCTTCATGGAAGAAGAACCTCAGCTTAGCCTGTTAGTCTTTGTGCTAGTGCTGATTATATATTGCCTTACATGTACTAGCTCAGCGCTAGCACGACAAACAAGCTAAACTGAGGTCCTCCATCCATATTTTCAGTTGCAGCTGAGTTATTTTTGTGTTCCCCTCTCTGTCATGTGGATGGAGGACCTCAGTGACGAGAGGAGAATGTGTAGCGCTGAGCTAATACATATATGGTGATAGCATTGGGGCTAACACTAAAGTTAACAGGCTAAGCTGAGGTTCTTCTGACCTTCTCCTCTCTGTCAACGCTCTCTGGTTTCATTTAAAAGAGTCGATCGTCAGATATTGTCCAAGATTAACCTTCAGGGTGGATATAGCTCGCTAGCAGCCTCGCACCGAGGACCTATCCACGTCATCATTTAGAATGCTTTGCGTGTAAATAAAACGGCCCTGTCCGTGTAATATATTTTTAAACTTTTAGTTTATAAATGATAAAAACTAAACAGCCCACAGTATTTTTACAGTCTTAATTTTACAGTTCAAATATATGTTTATCAAATAAAGTCTAATGTTACARMTAATTTGGGATCCCTAAGGATTGCAAGTGGGAAATTCCCACTTCTCAGTACAACTGGCCTGCAGCATTAGTTACCAGCAAAAATGTAGCAAAATGACCCACTATTTTTGAATAATGTGCACCTCCACCTATGGTATGACACCGTCATTTTGCAGTTAAAATAATCAACATGCATTATGGGAGATAGTTTAAGGTCAACACTGGCTTTAAAGCATCATATGCATAAATAAATATTTAACAAAATTGCTCAGGGGGCTGCAATTACGCAAAGCCAACAGCCCGGGGACGAGAAAAGTATCATCTTCCACTTTTGTTGATTTTGTTGCAGTGAATTATAAATTTAAAGTTTATAATTGATTTAAAATATATTTTATGTTAAATTAAGGAAAATATATTTTAAAACCTGAATTGAGATTGACAAGYTCAAGGCCATTTATTTATGTAAGTGACGATTATCAGAGAACCCTCATTGAAAGTTTTATGATCCATGATCGGGGCCCTTTGGCTTCGGTTTAGGTTTTATAATCRTGCAGTTTTTGTGGCCAAAATCAGACATCACTTCATGTTTTCAAATAAATTAGTAGGTGGCCAAATGAATGAATGTGCTGGTTATAAAGCTTCATCTCTTTGAAAAAAAATAGATAAATACCGATGATTACACTGAAAACCATACAGAAGTGTAAATAAAAGGTTACAAACTTACTAAAGCAAAACAAATAATGTTTTTCTAAAATTACAACTTGTTGTCCTGCTGATAATGAACACAAGGTGGCAGACAAGATGTAATCCTTTTTTCCCAAACCACTTCAAAATGTAGCTTTCCTTTTCATTCAGTAGCTGTTACATCAGTGCAATAGTCCAAACAATGGACTGCATTTATTAGAAAAAGAGGATAGCATGAAAAAAAAAAAAACAGCAAAAGCTTTCAATCCCAGCAGACAGAACGGCTGTAAGGCTGATTTGCTCATTAAGCTTCGTGTCACGCTGGTGCTACTAATGTAAAGCAGTTGGACTTGTGCGGGGAGCAGAACAGCCTGTGCCAGGACCCAGTATGTATGTGTGTGTGTGTGTGTGTGTGTGTGTGTGTGTGTGTGTGTGTGTGTG